TAGGTAAAGCTAATCTAATTCATAAATAATAATAATAATAATAATAATAATAATAATAATGATAGGCTAATAATAATAATAATAATAATAACAATATTACAAATAATCGTAAACATGATATAACTTTCTTTGATTATATATATATATATATGTATATATGTATATATATATATATATTATATATATTATTATATACCGTATGTCAACTAACCCCGCCAATGATGAAGAAGTCAGCTGCTACAGCAGTAACAGTTTATATATTATATATATAAATAAATAAATATATATATATATATATATATTGTTTGGTATCCAAACACTTACCCAATTCCAATAAAATGTTTAAAACACTCTTTAATACCAATAAAACGGTTAAAAAAGGCGGCCATTTTGAATTTCAACATGGAGGCCCAAGGAGTGAATGAAAAAACTGGCACCCACTTTTTTCTTGATCAGTAGTGTTTTTAGAGTTGTTTTAACATAATTGCCAAGAATCTACCCAAAATTTTGCTTTTTCTACATAAGACAACAGACTACTTACTACTGACTATGATGTTATTCTTGCCGTAACTTCAAATCAAAGCCTCAACACAAGGTGTCATGGATGTATCCACTTTCAAAACATTGCCGTCAACAAGACCTGATCATTACCAGGAGGAAAACAATCAGTTCTGTTCTTAACACTCGAACATACCACAGTGGTGACTGAAACACTGACCACTCCATTGTTTGCAGTAAAATTAGAATATCACCAATAAAGAAATATCACTTCAAAAGTAAAGTCAGCCCGGCTCTAAATGTTCAAGCAATGAAAGAAACGATAAATATCCAACAATTTACTAGAGAAGTCTCCAAATCGCTTTCGACCAAAAACATATCTGGTCCGGCCGTAGAAGATAGCTGGGAACATTGAAGAGGATTTTTGTATGAAAGTGCTTTAAATGTTTTTGGAAAACGGAAGCGGAAAAGTGAAGATTGGTTTGAAGCAAAAAAGTAACATTCTGGTGCCATACATAGAAGAAAAAAGAAATAAACTAAAAGAATACAAGAACAATCCCAGCTGTGAAAATCTTCAAATGTTAAGATGAGCTAGAAACATAGTCAAGAAAATGGCAAGAAAATGTGCAAATGAATACTGGACAGAATTATGTGAGAGAGTTGAACTTGCAGCAGCAACAGGAAATATTAGAGCTATGTATATAGGAATCAAACAGGCAGTGGGTCCTTCAGTGAAATGGACAGTAGCTGTCAAATCAAAAGATGGAAGGTGTATAGTGGAAAAAGGCAAGCAAATGGACAGATGGGTCGAGCACTTCTCTGAACTATACTCTACAGAGAATTTTGTAAGTGAAGTGACACTGCACTAAACGCACTACCAAAAATACCAACTATGGAAGAGCTTGATACCTTACCAACCATTGATGAACTGAGCAAGGCTATAGACTGCCTAACTGCGAGAAAATCACCAGGAAGTGATGGACTTCTCCTGAACTGTTTAAATATTGCAAGCATGCAATTATCAAGGAACTTCACTGTCTCGTTCCAACAGATCCACAATTGACATGATCTTCTCCTTAAGGCAAATACAGGAAAAGTGCAGGGAACAGAATCGGCCTCTTGTTATCACTTTTATAGATCTCACTAAAGCGTTCGATCTGATCAAGATCTCCAACCTAATACCTCCATCAAAATTTCAAAAATTTACATAAAACATTAAAATACAATACATTAAACATAAAAAATATAGATAAATTACGTTTCTTTAAAGCATATGATAAAATTGTAGTATGTAACTGAAATTTTATGTTTGTTTTATTGATTAATTTATTTAACTTTAGACATGACCTAAATATATAATCAATAATCATTTTTAAAAAGTGATATCTACCTTGTTCTCCTTGGAGTAGCACTAAGAGTAATGCTCTTCAAATCTCTCTAGTTATTTGTTAATCAGTTCACCAGTGATTGATTTCAGGGGCGCTGTTTTCTTTACTGATGGACCGAAGGTCCTTTTTATGCCGTCATGCATGCCCTTAGTGTTGCCGATATCAGATGCCTGTTGAATATTGGTACAAAATGTTTCTCCAGTAGGCATATTCGTACTTGGTGCTTAATCTTACAACCTTTGGACAGCCTTTCAGGCATTTTGCAAAGCAAAATTATTTTTTTTCTTTTGCCTCCAAATGCTGTTATTGCTGCTTCCGAGTGACTGACATTCTAGTTCAGCAGAATTAGAAATTCATTTAGGTATTAGGAGGGGAGTTTGTTAGTGTGCGAGTTTGTTAGGGCCTAGATTGTAGGGAGTTGACTGGGATCCATATTGTATAGCTTTCTTTATTTCAGGTTTATTATACATTACGGACTCCACCCTGAAACATAGTCAATAGTTGAAGGGCTATGTTGCTAACACGCATACGTTCATTCGAGCTCTGTTATTACCGTATTTATTTGTTTATATTGTGTTTACGGTACTATATGC